GGCCAGAGTAAAGCTGGGCACCAGAGCAGTGCTGACACAGATGACAGACACATCATTGTCTTTCTCAGTCACAGCAATTGTTAGGCTGTAAAGGCAGAGTCACAAGAAACAAAGCCAAGGGCATTGCTGTCACTGTACCTTGAACCCAAAAGGCCAGTGGATGAGGTAGAGATCCAGGTAATCCAGTTTCAGGTCAGCAAGAGTCTTCTGGCAGGCTCCCTTCACCAGAGGCTTCTCATGAAACGTGCACCACAGCTAGGGGCAAAAAACAAGGCACACTGTGACCTCATGAGTTAAACCTCTCAGGTGCTCTCCTGAACAGCACAGAAATGTTCCATGTTCTTTGGAAGGTAATATGGAATGAGGCCATCGTAGCGCTCTCCAGATGTGGTGTGCTCTGGGATGGGACTGGCCCATGACACTGAAGGCAGTGTGTGCAGTGGCAGCACAGTGTTTGAGCAGGATCATAACAAAGTCCTCTGGTTCCATTAGTTCAGATATAATTTGTGCTGCCCACTCTGCCTTTTCCTGCAGGTTGGCCTGCAGCTGGCCTCCCCTCATCCATCCCCCAGCACTCTGTCTTCTCAGCAGGGTGCCAGAACACAACAGGTCTGTGGTGCTCAAAGTTGCTGTATATTCTGAGGGGGGAAATCAGACTCTTGCCTCCCTTCAGTGTTATTGGAAGAAAGTGCAGGGAAGACAGCTGCCACCAGTTAGGGTAAGAGTGATTCTTCTTAAGGAACTCACTCTTCCTATCCAATGGCTACAACATTAACAATTACTGTCAGTGGACAGGAAAGAATCAAACTCTATCACTGTGGTCATGAAGTGGAATAAGACAGCAGTATCAGGAATAATCTCGTTTACATTATGAGCTTCTCCAGTGCTACAGCATTAAACTACTTCAGGTTCCTACTGTAAACATATCACAGGTAAAGCCAGTTTGTCCATAATCCATGACCATCGGATCCATACCTTACTGACGATGAAAAGGTCCTCTCGTTTCACGACACCTTCCTTGATTTTCTGGTGGATCCCACTCCCAACTTCCTTCTCATTCTGGTACACGTAGGCGCAGTCAAAGTGGCGATACCCGGCATCGATGGCAGCCATCACTGCAGCTTCCACCTTACCTGGGGGGGACTGACGGGAAAAAGGGTAGGACATGTCTCAGTTTGGGATTTTCACGTACTCTTCCTTCGGTAGCTGCCGAAGCACCGCCGGGGTGCCGCTGCCCGCGGTTACCTTCCATGTGCCGAGCCCCAGCAGCGGCACCTTGGCAGCCCCGAGCCGCGCGTACGCCGCCATGGCCGGGTCGGCAGCGCTCCGCCCCCCCGCTCCCTGGCAGCCAATCAGCGCTCTGGCCCCGCCCCGCTGGCAGCTCCGCCCAGTCAGCAGCGGAGCCTGCAGCCAATGGGATCCGCCCGGCGGCCATGGTGGGATAGCGAGGTGGGCGTTTCTCACGGGGGGGCGGCCGGGGGGTGCGGCTTTTCCTGCTGGAAAAGGGTGAAATTCCTTATCAAAGATAAGGGCTGAGGGCAGGTGTGTCCCGAGGGCAGGTGTTTGTGCTGCAGGGATCAGCTCCTGCAGCGCCCTGTCCCTTCGCCACAGGTTGTCCGTGCGTGTCTCGCTTGTGCCGGTGTGCCGGGGCGTTGCGACACCCTGTGGCAGTTCTCCCCGTGGGTTCTGAGAGAGAGGTGGTTTCTTTCAGGGACGCTTTGGCCCACGGCTTGTCATCGGTACAGCCCAGGGGTGTCCCGAAATGTGTCGATAAGCAGGAGGCCTGGGGTAGGACGTGACACAGAAGTCCCACGCTCCCCGCTCACGGAGCGCCTCCCTCGCTGCCGGGTGTGTGGCTGGGGCTGAGCCATGGCCCGGGGAAGGGCTGAGCCTTTGGCTGGAGCAGCGCGGCACTGGTGGCCTGGGCTGGTGCCAAGAACCTGCCATGCTGCGCGCTATTGAAAGGAGATGGCTAAAGATACCTCAGTATGGCTTGTGAGAGCGGGGAGCACCCTGTTTCCCTCTCCGGATGGGACAAGTACAATTTCAGTTTGTGGTAAGTGAGTTTGTGAGTAATTTAGGCAATAATCAGTACAAATCACTTCATTTTAAATGTTGGGGGAAAGTATTTCTTAGTACGTTTTCAAAGCTGCAGAAGAGCAGTGATTCTCAGCAAATGTCACAAGGATCACATTGTGCCTGTGTCTTTAGGGAGGTGCAAACCATATCTCAGAATAAAATGTACAAATGTAGAAATAAATGGTAAGTGAACTTTAATTTCACGTTAGAAATCGACTTTGAAATTGTGGAGAGGCAAAATACCCTGTTTTAATGAGGTGCTCACAGTGTAATGAAAAAAAAATATTTATCAGCATGATCCTTCAAGTGCTCCATAATGGTATGTTAGGGCTGCTTGGAAGCCTTTGCTATTTGCTTGTACTTGGAGAATTGATTTATGTACAAGCATAAATTCAAAGTATGTACAATGGTGCACTTTTCTCTGAGTGCCTCTCCCACAGCTGGTGCCCCAGGTCTTTTTGCTTCATTTAACCCAAGACAGACAAGATAATTAGTTTTTCTCTTTAATCTTCCTCTGATTTTCTGTCAGGGCTATCAACTTCCTCAGCAGGATGTGGTGTTTCAGTTCAATCACGTAAGAGTTATACAACTTGGGCTTATCTTTCATCCTTATTTGGGATTCCTTCTCCATAGATCTGCCCTGAGTCCACTCAGTTTCTTGGTCTGGTTCATTGTTCAGAGAAGTGATTGAAAAACGTGAAATGACACATTTTGCCTTGTGTGCAATGTGTTTTCTCAAGAGAGCCCAGAGAGCAGCTGAAGTGCCAGTTTGCTCCTGCTCTCCTTCGTATTCCCAAGGCACTCGAGTTTGTGGTGCTGTGCTGGTAATTTATTAGTGTTAGTAGTGTCACATTCAGAAACCATCAATGATGAGTGGCTCTCAAGACTTGATGTAGGAACTTGCAGAATCCATCAGATTTTGTACTGGAGCAGCACCAAGGTGAACTGTTGCCCTCAGAGAGCTGTGCTCTGTGAGCCTGTGAAAGCTTGCAAAGCCTGGCTGTTTGGCCAGCGGGATGGGAACTCCTCTGAGAGAGAGCAGAAACCCTGGAGTGTTTGTTCTAATTCTTCTGAACGCATCTTTCTGGAGACAGGTTCAAAAGCCTTGCATTCCTGCGGCAAGGAGCTGGGTAGAGTGTGTGATGACAGAGAGAGATTTGGTGGAGAGCAGGGCTGAGAAGTGCAATTTGTCCTTCCTTTCACTTTCTTCTGAGATTTCTGATGCTGCTGCTTCTGTGAACTCATGTTCTCCTTTGAAGGTTGGTGCTTGGTTTTCCCAAGACACATCCCGAGAGATGCCTTGCTCATTTATGAGAGGATTTTTGGCATTTTGCTTAGTTTTGCCTGTTACTGCGAGACCTTGCCCAAATCATGCCAATATATGGGAGCTGCCAGTTGATTTTCTGTCCTGAAGGTGTGGCTGGGGTTGTCAGATGACAGTAGGGACTTTGGGAAAGGAGTATGTATTGGAACAGGATGTTTATGTTGCTAAATGGTGTGCATTGATTCAACTTCCAGATGCTTGTTAAAGCAGGAATAAGACAGGAGGATGGTGGTTTAATCTGATTCTAAGACCTTGGCCTCTTTTTTGCACTGAGTTCAGATCAAGTCAGGAGCATCCTCTGAGGTCCCATCACCCTCTGTGTCTTCTCAGTAGTTTTTTTTGAAGACTTTAATATTTGATAATTCTTGTATTTGCCTATTTGTCTATTAACCTGATGAGTTGACAAAACTGTGTAATTAAAGTGATTTAACTCCAGAAATGAAACGATGAGCACATACCCTAAGCAGGCAGCCCTTGCCTGTGCATCCTTTGCACCTAGGCCTGATACAGCAAGTTGATGTGGCTAAACCCTGATGATGTCTCCTTCCTTTCAGTTGGTTGTATGTGCCCTGGGATGAGAAGAGACCCTTCAAGTGGGAGCAGAGTAGCCCTTCAGTGTGGGTAGGATGAGGCAGTAAGTGGTGCCCTTAGCCAAGGAGAATATGGATGAATTTGTGTGATTGTGCCCACAATGATGGCTCCAAAGTTAGAGCAAGTGTTTGATCAGGAGCTTTCCAAGGCAAAGAGGGTGGTTGTGAAAGGTGGTAGAAATTCCCTACATCTTTAGCTCCCATGCCATATTAAATATTGTACCCTAACTGGATTCACTAACTTGGTGTATTTTTTTGCAGGAGGTTGCTGAGGGCTTTATGAGCTGTTTCCTTTGGGAAGCTGGGAAACACATGCTCTTGGATAGTATCTTTTTGAATGGAAAGTGGAAATTTTGGGGAGAAGATCCTAAGGTGTCAGTGGTTTGGCTCAGCACCAAAGGGCTGAGCCTCCCCTGCCAACAGACACCTGGGTTGTGTGGCAGCTGAAATGGGGCTATGCCTGTGGCTCAGGGCCTGTGGCCAGCCTGTGGATTGCTGAGGAATGGCAGGGGAGAGTGCTGAGTGGCTGTCCCAGGGCAAATCCGTGTCTCCACAGTGCAGGTGGCTGCAGCCCACCTCTCTGTGTATCTCTGGGTTGGGAGGGTTTTGGTTTCTTCCTTCACTGGACAGAAGATTTTCAGCCAATTAACGTTTTTGCTTTTTACAGTTAAACTTATTTAAAATATGGGACACCTCTGATGAAATTGTGAATCCATGTTTGGTTTTTTTTTTGTGGTTTGTCAGCATCTGGTTTCTGCTGATGCAAGACTGAAGGCAATTACTGAATGGTGGTACAAGCTCTTCCACCTCTGCTTTGGCTCTTCAGTAGAAATACTGTCTTCTAATAGGCAGAAGATTATTGCATCCCACATTTTTTGCTGTAGAAAATACCCTTTTCTTCTTCCAAAAAAACCAAATTTCATGGGATAAACATTCTGTGTCTTCACTGGCAGTACTGGGGCAGATGCAATAAGAAAACCAGATAAATAGCTCAAAGTTAGAGCAGAGGCACGTGAGACACCAGAGGTCTAGTGAAGGCCATCTTCAGTATTCGGCATGGAAAGGGTATTCCTTGAGATTTTTGGACCTGAAAGAAATCAAAGAGGGAATGTTATTTAAATGCATAACTTAAATGTTATATAGAGATGCATTGGGTACACAAAGGAGCCACCAAGGGAAGATCTGCATCATGTAATTACAGGAAGAATATGTGGAGATATATGTCTTTGTTTCTCTAATACAGACAAAGATGAAATGAATATCCAGAATCCATTTTTTATAATTCAAGTTACAGAGAGTTTCCTGAAAACTGAATTCAAAATGAGAATGTAGTTTGTTTTCTTTTTGTTTGTTTGTTTTGTTTTTAAAATGAAAATATTAAACCCTCTCCTGAAGAAGTGTTCTTGGGAAAACCAGTTGGAATTTGAGTTGGCATGATTTTTAAATAAACTGAATTTCATTCTACCTAGTATCTGTGACACAAAATTCCTTGTAAAGAATATTCAAAGTTTAGGAGTTGGAAGAAAACAGTCAGTGTCACTTACATATCCATTTCACAGATCCTCCAGTTTCTGTTAAAGCTCAGAATAGTTGCCATCTCCTCTTTAGTCAATTCAAAGTCAAACACCTAAAAAGAGAAACAGATGGAAATTTCCTCTTTGGACAAACCAAACAATGAGGAGAAAGACAGGATTAGAGAGGAGCTCCATGCTGGAGGGTCGATTTTTACTCACATACCACTGAATTAACAGATAGAAGGACACCTTGTTTTATGGACACAGGAAATATTTTATGAACATTGTTTATTCTATGGATGTTTCTGGCATGTTACTGATTCCAAGCAAGCAGTGCCTGCTGATTCATCCATAAGCCACAGAACAGGAATTATCATGTAAGGGCTGATCATTAACCTCTCAAAAAATAGGCCTGGCTTGACAGTCAGTAAAGTTTAGTTAAGCATAAAGAAGGAAAAAGTGCAGTCCTGCTGCCCAAGGAGGACATGGCAAGGATGAGAGAGGATCTGTGTTTGCTCTGCAGGGAGAAGCCGTGCTGTCCCTGAAGGGCAGCACCCAGCTCACTCCTAATCCCTCACCTGGAAGTTCTCCACAATGCGCTGTGGTGTGACAGACTTGGGAATCACAATCACATTTCTCTGGATCTGGAAGCGAAGGAGAACCTGCAAGAACAGACAACCGAGTCAGAAAGAGGATGGTTCCTGCTCTGGAGGAAGCAGAGCCTGTTCCAACAGCTGTTTTCTCTAAGCTCTATTCACTTTGGCAGAGCTGCATTTCAAACCATTCCTATCCCTGCAGCCCAGATAGCACTGCCTGGAGAGCAAAAAGGGAAGTGGTGGAGTCTCACACGGGAGGCCTCCTTTCCCATCCAGTTTTGGAACAATTTCTTTTCTTCCCAGCCAGGCTTTTAGCAGTCTATGCAATGCTTTCATTCTGTGCAAGAAGACTTGAGAGTGGAAGGTGACATCCGAAGATGGGTCAAGAATCTTTTGTAGGGCCAAAGAGATAGTGGTAGGGTGTCTTGCAGATCATATAATAAAAAAATCTGTATTGTTAGGGAAAAATCAAAGGAGTGCCAGAATTCATGGATTGGGTAATATGGATAGAGGTTCTACCCTTTCCTGAGCTCTGTTTTCCTAAATGGCTGTGTTACAGGAATGAGTACCCACTGTGTGGCACTTACTCACCTGTGCTGGGGTTTTGTTGTGTTTGGCTGCAATCTCTTTGATCTTGGGGTCATCCAGGAGGGAAGGATCCCCTGGCTTAGCCCTGCGCAGAGAAAACAAATCAATGGCAAGAAACCTCCATAGAAAGATCCAGCGTAGCAACAGAGATCTGTATCTGGGTGAATACTTAATGCTGCAGGTGTAGCTTCAATGTTACAAACATAATCCACGCCAACTTCCTTGCAAATTGCAGAGCAGTCTTACCATGGTCTGTCAGGACGGCCAAGGGGACAGTATGCTGTCACAGTGATCCCTTTGGATTGACAGTACTTGATCAGCTTCTCCTGGGTGAGGTATGGATGACATTCAATCTGCCAACAGAAAAGCACAGAGGCTGTTACTTGGCAGAACTGTTGAAATATTGTGCTCCATGGATTATCTCCTAATCCAGCTAGAGGCTGCCTTTTCCCCTGATTTGCCCATGGCCTGCATGATAATAGTATTATCCTTAGTATTGAAAATACCTATTTTTGTACAAAGTGCTCATGTAGAGTTTGCTATGGGCGTTTCACAAAGCTCATCTCTGGGTTCTTTATTTTTCCAGAGAAACTGTTTTTAAGGAAATACTCCAACATTTGTAAACAGTGGTTCAGCAAGGTGATACCAAAAAGGAAACGTCCAAGTGCCTTGTGTACTCCCAAATATTCCACAGAGAGGGATTTAAAGTACATGCTGTCTGCTTTGTTTTCCCTTTTCCCATCCCTTCCTTCAATTGGTATCAGGTATTTATAATGCCTGAAAACTAGTCACCTGAAGTCACTTTGCAGCTTACCTGGTTATTTGCAGGCTTGTGCTTCAGTCCCGGCTTGTTCAAGATTCTTTCAATCTGCTCGTGGTTAAAGTTGGAGACTCCAATGGCTTTTACCAGACCACAGTCCACCAGCTCTTCCATGGCCTGATACAAAGAGGAGCAAAGTCAACATCCAGTATGCAAGGCAGATCATGATGATGTGGGATTTTTTTTCCTGTCATGAGCAGCACTAAATAACTGTTTAGACTTGCAAAGTTCTCTGAGGGAGAAGCACGTACCATCTCACCCAAGCCCAAATTCTCATTCCCTGAGTGTGTGGAAATTCAGACCAAGTTGCATGAGGAAAAGAATGATGACACTCAGTAATCCACTGTTGAGCAAGCACTGGAGGGCTGTGCCCCACACTGTAGGCAAGATCTCCACCTAAAACACCTTTATTTCTGTGAAATTTGTTTGAGCAATTCAAGAAAGATGCAAAAACTGTGGTGAAAATAATTGTACAGTTGTTATGGTCGAGTAATGAACTTTCTCTAGTTTCAGTCTGGTCTGCAGCTCCACTGGAAGAGCTTGTCCAGCTCACTGTGGGTCAGGTGGTTAAGTAAGACTCGGGGATTAGGAATAACTAGGTAAGGATGAAGCATGCCCATTATGAAAAGGTCCTTTGTACTGCCTTATGTGCCTTCCACCTAATTTTGCTTGAATGAGACGACAGTGGTTGTGTGACATAATTAAACATGGAAAAGACTGATGAGGACAGAGGACATGCCTCTTCTGCTCTGGGCTGAACTTACCTCCCACGTCTGCAGAATATCACTGTTGCTAGGAATAGCCATGCCTTTGTCATCTTTTGGCAACAGCTCCTCTCCTGCCTGTCAGTGAGGAAAAAATGCTTGAAATAATCTCTGCTGGGACACTAGCTGTATAAAACAACTAAGTGGGGATGTAAGGAGCTAAAGCTAATAGTGTATGAAAAAAATCCCAAGTAATTCTCATTATAACTTAATTCTTCATGTTGCTTCTTATTCTTAGTTCATGCATTTTGTAACCTCCTATGCCAGTAAAGACAGGTATTTCTGCTGGACCCTTGGAAGTGATCATCCACAAAATGCATGCAGGGAAGCATGCAGGGACTCACAGAACAGTATTCTGGGGTCTTACATGAGTTCACTCTAAGTGTTGTTCTGTTATGCACATTTAGGAATAATGGCTTCTTTAGTTGTTTTTAAAAAGGCATATGGAGGATTGACTTTGTTCCTGTGAACATACACAGTTTATGCTGGAGTACATTTGCTGACAGATGTCCCATGGGGAGGCTCACTTATTGAAGTTGCTGTATTAAGGAAAATTAGAACAGCCTGTATCTAGACAGTATGGCCAAAGTATTTTGAATGATTGGAATTTTCTAGATGCCACAATATTATGCAGTTTCACTTGACGGCTTTTTCCATAGAAATCTAACTAAAGCAATATTGAGAGAATAAAATGAAGTTGAGCTTGAAAGCATTAGGTAGAATAGAGATTTTGATCTGGGTGTAGCAGAAAGGAGAGGCTAATGGTATGTGCGTGTGTGTATATATATATATAACCTGACATCAATCTTTGAAGTGCATGTAGTCCGTGAAAACTTGATATCTAAAAGCCTCATCTTTTGAAATTCAAAGTCTGTGAAACAACACTGAGTCTCCTAGCAAGGTCAGCTCAATCTCTACTGTATTAAGGACTTGGTGATTAAAGAGAAAAATGGGAATCTTGAAGCATTTACTTTCACTCTGTGATTTTGTAACCTGAACAGGAAAGAATTTCTGTCGCACAGCAAAGCGCAGCCCTCTGTCCCACAAGGGGCAGTTTTCAGATGAGCATGCTTTGGATTTGTAAAAGAAAGGGAAAAAGGCATAACCTGTGCTTGCAGCTGGGAGGCTTGATCTTAGTGCTAGATCTGCCTGTCCATTATCAAAAGGGCAGAGGACACTGTGCAAGCCTCACTCTCAGGGGCAGAGATCAGGAGCACAGCTGACGTGGCCAGAGTAAAGCTGAATGGGCAGCACTGTCACAGTGCTGGTACACACCAGACACACGCTCTTTCTGGAGCTGCAAGTGCTCCTGGCAGTGTTGAGGAGCTCTCCCAGGAGGAAAAGCCAAGGACATTGCTGTCACTGTACCTTGAACCCAAAAGGCCAGTGGATGAGGTAGAGATCCAGGTAATCCAGTTTCAGGTCAGCAAGAGTCTTCTGGCAGGCTCCCTTCACCAGAGGCTTCTCATGAAATGTGCACCACAGCTAGGGGCAAAAAACAAGGCACACTGTGACCTCCTGGGTTAAAGCTCTTGGGTGCTCTCCTGAACAGCATAGAAATGCTCCATCTCCTTTGGAAGGTCAACTGGAATGAAGTCATGTTAGTGCTTTTCAGATCTGGCATGCTCTGGGATTGGACTGGCCTGTGACACTGAGGGCAAGGTGTGTGCAGTGGCAGCACAGTGTTTGAGCAGGATCATAACAAAGTCTGGTTCCATTAGTTCACACATAATTTGTGCTACCCCCTTTTACACAGAGTCTGGCTTGGCAAAAGGGGGTGTTTACAGGACGTGTCTGTCATTCCTGAGCATGCACAGAACTCCTGCATTGAATGTAGCAGGCAAAGCCAAGAAAATATAAGGCAAGCAAGAGTGGTTGGCACCAACCTTTGCCTCAGTAAAAAGTAACTTCAGAATCCACCTACATAGCCTGATTTTCTTAATAAGAAAGAGAACACGCCAGTCATACCTTCCTTGAGACATGTGCTGAGCAGATAACACTGTTCCAAGGAGCCCAGAACCGTGTCTTACTCAAACAGCAGAGACACTCCTTTGTCAGGACTGTGAGCCCGGCTGCTGGAAGAAGCACCAGGCAGTGCCAGGCCCATCTCCTCTGCTGTACTTTAGCAGTCAGCAAGGTGCCATTAGCAAACTGGTTCTGCCTCTGTATGAGTCCTTTACACCAAGTGGTCTCAGAGCTCTGCATCACAGGTTTCTACCTTGCTTGGTGCTACCTGGCCCACTCTTACCTTTCCCCGTGTCCCTTCTTTTGCACTAGTCAGTCTGCAGTTGGCCTCCCCTCATCCATGCCCCAGAACTTCTGGGTCTCCTCAACAGAGTGCCAGACCACAGCAGGGTACAGTCTCAGTGTATCCTTCCTAACTCTCCACACAGAATGGGGTGAAGCAGTAAGCTTCAAGGAGTGACTTGAATGATGTTATGATTTGCTTTATCCTACAGCATGAAATTTTTTCCCAATACTTAAGCTTTTCTACTATAAAATACTATAGGCAAAGCATTCCCCTACCGCTGCTCCAGGATGCAAAAGCATCAGATTCTTACCTTACTGACAACGAAGAGATCTTCTCGTTTCACAGCACCTTCTTTGATTTTTTGCTGGATCCCTTCCCCAATTTCGTTCTCATTCAGGTACGCATAGGCACAGTCAAAGTGGCGGTACCCGGCATCGATGGCAGCCATCACTGCAGCTTTGACTTGCCCAGCTGGGGACTGAAAAGAAAACATAGATATTAAGAATCTCAAATCAGTACATGTTAAATACCCGTATCCTAGCAAAATAACACCAGGGAAACCATCTTACTGAAAGCAATTCCTCCCCTGCCCCCCAGCTTGGTGGGATGTTTTATTTTTTACAAGAACACTTATGTCTTGCAGTCATAAACATGGGCTCCAGGGCTTGAAGCCAACCTCCAACCTCTGTAGTCCACTCCAATTCAGATTCAGCCCAACAGCCAGGACGAGCAGAGTCCCAAGGACCAGGACAGCTCTCCGGAGCTGGACCAGGGAGAGTAAAGTTTTGTGCCAGGGAGCTCTGCAAATACAGGTGCTTTTCCCTGAAGCTGGTACCTGCCAGGTGCCCAGCCCCAGGAGGGGCATCTTGGCTGTGGTGCTCAGCTGCACATAGGTTGCCATGATCCTTCACGCTGTTTGCATTGCCCCACTGCAGCTGCCTCTTGCCCGTCTGGTTTAACAGTGACTGGTCTCTGGGCAGGGCAGGGGAAGGTGGTGGAGTGTCAGTGGTGCTCTGGCTCCTCCTATATCCAGAAAACAAGTCTGCAGCTTTTTCTCTGCGCACACGACTCACACAGGTTAATGTGAAGGCTGAAATCAATTTAAAATTGAGGAGGTAATTACATGGGGCGTGCAGTGGTGTGCCCTGTGGACCTTTCCTCCCCCTGTGGACCTTTCCTCCTGGTGAAGTTCCTTATCAAAAGATAAGGGCTGAGGGCAGGTGTGTCCTGATCTAGCTGGCGTTTGTGCAGGGAACAGCTCTTGCAGTGCCCTGTCCCTGTGCCACAGGTTGTCCATGCATATCTCACGTGTGCCAGTCACTGTTGCAATTCCACCATGGATTCTGTGAGAGAGATGGTTTCATTCAGGGGCACTTTGGCCCACAATTTGTCATTCATAAAGCTCAGGGGTGTCCTGAAATGCATCAGTAAACAGGAATCACAGAATCACAGAATATATGCCAAGTCATACTGTGTGCCTGAGAGTATTGTCCAAACTTTTCTTGAACTTTGTCAGGCTTGGTGCTTCCCCACTTCTCTGGGGAGCCTGTTACGGTGCCCATTCACCCTCTAGGTGAAGAACCCTTTTCTAATGTCTAACCTAAACCTCCCCTGACACAACTTCAGGCCATTCCCTGAGGTCACCACAGAGAAGTGATCAGTGTCTGCCTCTTCTCTTTCTCTCACGAGGAAGTTGTAACTGCAATGACGTCTCCCCTCGGCCTCCTCCAGGTTGAACAGACCAGGTGACCTCAGCTGCTCCTCATACAGCTTCCCCTCAAGGCCCTTCACCATCTTTGTTGCCCTCCTTTGGATGCTCCCTAATAGCTTAATATCTTTCTGCACACAATATTCAAGGTGAGGTCACACAATCACCACCATCAAGCGGCTGGTGATACTTTGCCTGATGCCTCCCAGGACATGGTTGGCCCTTCTGGCTGCCAGGGCACTGCTGACTCATATTCAACTCCCCCAGGTCCCTTCCCTGGCACTGCTTTCCAGGATCTCATTCACCAATTTGTATGAAAAGCCAGGGTTGCCCCATCCCAGGTGCAGAATCTGACACTTTCCCTTTTTGAACTTCATATGGTTGGTGATTGCCCAGTCTTCTAATTTGTGAGGTCTCTCTGCAGGGCCTCCCTGACTTCAAGGGAGTAAACAGCTCCTCTGAGTTTTGTGTCATCTGTAAACTTGCTTAGTGTCCTTTCCTAAGTCCAAGTCCTTTATGAAGATGTTGAAGAGTACTGGGCCTAAGATGAAGCCCTGCAGAACCCCACTAGTGACAGGTTGCCAGTCTCATGTTACCTCATCCACTGTTACCCTCTGTGCTCAACCCGTGAGCACACCCATGGTGTGATGTGTTTATCCACCTGTGTGCTGGACATTTTGTCCAGAAGGATACTGTGAGAGACGGTATTGAAAGCTTTGCTGAAATCCAAGAAGATTACATCAACTGGCTTCCCTTGATGGGTGAGGTGTGTTTCCAGGTTTGATCAGCAGGACTTGCCTCTCGTGAAGCCGTACTGGCTGTGACCAATGACTGTCTTTCAGGTGTTTTTCAATCCCTCCCAGAATAATCTTCTCCATAACTTTACCAGGCACTGAAGTGAGACTGGCAGGCCTTTAGTTTCTGGGGTCCTCCTTCTTGCCCCTCTTGAAAATCACAACAATATTCGCCAGCTTCCAGTCAGCTGGGACCTCTCCAGATTCTCAAGACAGCTCAAAAATCACCGAGAGAGGTTTTGCAATGACATCAGCAGCTCTTTGAGAATTCTTGGATGAATCCCATCAGGCTTCATAGATTTGCAGGGATCCAGCTGGAGCAGCAGATCCTGCACAATTTCAGGGTTGACTGGGAGCTGATCATTCTTGCAGTCATAGTCCTCCAGCTCAGGGCACTGAGACTCCCTTGGTCTGTCATCCATGTTGAAGATAGAGGCAAAGAAAGTGTTAAACCCCTCTACCTTGTCTGTGTCCCCTTTGTGAGGTGACCATCCCCATCCTGTAATGGGCCAAGGATATTTCTGTACTGCCTAGTCATTAATATATTTGAAAAAACTCTTTTTATTGTCCCCCACATTTCTGGTAACTCCATTTCCAATTGAGCTTTAGCAACACAAATTTTCTCCCTATGGCAGCAAGCAACATCTCTGTATTCTTCATGTCACTTGACCTTGGTTCCACTGGGTATTCACCTTCCTTTTTTGCCTTATTTCCAAGAGAAGATCCCTGTTCAGCCAATCCAGCCTTCTGCCTTGTCTGCTTGACTTCTGACATCTGGGAATTGCCTGCTCCTGTGCCCTTAGAAGGTGATGGTTGAAAAGTGACTGGCGCTGATGGACCCCAGCACCTGCAAAAACATTTTCCCAGGGGACCTTACTTACTAATTCCCTGAGCAGCCTGAAGTCTGCTCTCTTCATGTCCAGAGCTGAGATTTCCTGGCACTTTTCCTCCTGTCAACAGAGGTTTTAAACTCAGTTGCCTTTTGGTCACTGTGGCAAGATGGCCACAATCTCTACTTTGCTTGTGAGATCCACTCTGTTGACAAGCAGCAGATCAGGGAGGGATCTTTCTGCATCAGCTTCCTTAGGACCTGTTTCATAAAGTTATCATCCAGGTTTTTTAGGAATCTTCTGGCCTGGGTTATAGCAGCTGTGTGATGCTCTCAGTTAATTTCTGGCCAGTTGAAGTTCCCCACAAGAACAGTTGTGCATGTTGACTTGGAAATGTCCCTTAGTTCCTTAAAGAATAATTTGTTGGTGTCATTTCCCTGGCTAGGAGGTATATAGCAGACTGCCAGGATGATATCAACATTATTTGTTTTCAGCAGCCATAAAGGAGTTTCATAATGCAGAGAGAGACGTGGGAGTGTAGAAGAGAAAAGGTTTCCTGTTAGCTACGGGGTCATGGTCATCGTGGATGCCATATATAATCACATATATATAATAAACACAAATTACACATCCTTTTGCACAAAAATAAAGCAGGATCCAGGGAATGGATGGTGGTTGTGCTTCAGTGTTTGCGCACACGGGGGCAGAGTTAAACTTGTGTGTGGCCACTGCTTTTGCTTTTCTTCAACTGTATCTCATCCAATTTAATTGCATATTGCATTCCTTAGATTTTGTAATAACAAGAAAGTGGAAATCTCTCTTCCTCTGCCTTTTTTCCTAAAAAGTATTGGAAGAAAAAAAATGAAGGTGGCTTACATTTGTAATAAATAAATAGGCATGAAAATTTTCTGGTAGGGACTCAAAAGATACAATCTGAGTTTTGAAGAAGAAATTAGCAGTTATCATTAACATACCGATTTTCTGAATTATCTGATCTTTAAATTAAAGACACAAAAAAGAATTTCCTTTTCCCTGCTGTCTTTTGCACTGAAATGCAATACTGAAATGTATCAGACTGCTTCTCCTGCCTCAACCCACCACTCTCTATCAAAGATGTTCCAAAACTGGCATTTATGAGCATTGTTATGTATGAGGGGGGGAAATGTCTGTTTTTTCCCTCCTGTCAACTGGCACTTACTTTCAACATGTTGTATATCCCAGGGGAAACAGAAAGACTGTCTAAAATTTAGAATGGTTGGATTTACTACGACTGGCGGTGCTTTCATGATCTCAGCACCTCCAGCTTGCTTTTAAGTGCAGCAATTAATGAGGATTGTGGGCCACCTACAGCTGGTAGGAAGCAGTATGTGCTGTACAGAGTTGGGTTGTTACCTATCTATTTGCGGTCAGAGGTTACTTCCATTGGGAGATTTCCCACTGATTCAATAGCATGGAAACAAGCCATTTGTTAAAATGTCTGCCAAAATGTCTTTGTTCAGCCAGTCTAATACCAAACTCTCTCTAACCTATTTTTTATACTGTTCCCGATGTCCTTGGAATGGCTTTCAACACTGTGTGTTTTTCAGTGCTTCATCACTGAAAAACTCTGTTTCCCCCAGCAGCTCATGATGCAGCAGTGGTAGTGGCTCGGGCACAATGGAGGAGATAAGATTCCTCAGGATCTGCATCCCAGTGTTGGCCTGACCATGCTGTTATCGGGGGGATGAACCAAGAACAGCAAGAAGAGGAAGAACTGACCTTTTTCCTTTTCTCAAGCGCTTTCCCCAATCCGTAGTGTAAACCAGTGGGCTCAAGCTGATGGAAGAGGTGCTGGGATATCATACCAGGCTAGGAAAGTAGAGCTACTAAAAATGATTTATGGCCTTTTTTATAGTTTTGCTCAGTCACTGTATGTCACCCTCTGGAGCAAGATGGGCTTCCCAGAACTAGTCACAATCTGACATTTCCACAGCATTGGACCCACAAGAAACCTGAAGCAATATATTTTGGCTTCTGAGAAAAACCCAGCCAGTGTGGTTCTGAAACTGGAGTAACTATTACTGTTACAAAAACAGGAAAGGGAAAAATCTGGGCAACATCAAGCTGAAATTACCTTCAAGAAGAACCTTTGAATTTAGCAGAACTTCAGCAAGCTACAGTTTTTGAGAGCTACATCAAACGGGGTGGTTTGGTGATAAAGAGAAGTGTAACTTGCCAACAAGTGGGCACCTGAGGGTAAACAGGATAGGAAGAGATAGTTAATAGAGCTGTCAGGCAGTGGGGAGCAGACCCCTGGAGGCAGTGGAGGAGGTGTTGACAGCAGGCAGGCAAAGCAAGGCATGTTCACAGTATTCACAAAGAATAATAAGGTTACATTTTCATCTGATTCTTGTGTACATGAGAATCTTGCACTGTTTCATTATGTTGAAATGCAAATGCCTTTTCTGGACACATATCAGTTGAAGTACATTGTATGTTTATTTAGCTTAAATCTGTTCCCTACCACTTGAGTTAAAACAATAGAAAGCACTCCAGCAAAATAACATTCATCCTCCCACAGACTTCGCAT